CGTTCGTTCAAATTCGACGTAATCTAAAAATATATCTACAAAAACTTCGCCAACATTTTTTTTTTTTGTTTTTTTTGTTTTATTAAGATGTTAACAGAAACAATTAACTTATTAGCTTCTAAGAAAAGACATCGTATGGGGGAAAATCAAAAGCAAATAATGTGCGATAGTTTTTTTTCATTTTTTTTTTTGTTTAGTTTTTATATTCAAAACAAACGATCTTTGATGAAATTTTTTTTTTTTTTTTTTTTTTTAATATATATATATAAACAAATGCAATTTAAATCGATGAACATAAACCCGCTGTCCCTTTTTCGATACCGGCACGATACCGTGGGCTGGCAAGTACGCCGACACCAAGGGCGACCGTCTTACGCGTAGCACCGCGTATAACCGGCGTCTCGTTGGGCGCACTTCAACTAAACTGATTTCGTAAAGTGTAAAATAAATTCATCTCATTTTGTTCTGTTGTCTTTGTGCATTCGTTTTATTCATAAATAACTTAAAAAATGCGAAAAAAAAAATACAAAAGAAAAAAAAAAAATAAATAAATAAAAACGCATTGAATCTCATACTGAAGAGGAATTGTCAGCAAGGGAAAGCGTACGCATTCAAAACATTTGGATACAGGACGCATTAAAAAAAAAAATACAAATCACACACATAGTAATATAAATGCGCGCGTGTATATAGAGAAATGCAGAATTTTTGTAGCTATTTATACGATCGCATGGTGCCTATATTTATGTGGAGACTTGCTTCACCACAATAATTTGAAGAATTCATCGACCCGTTAATTTTTTTGCTTTCTCTGTTTTTTTTTTTATAATTATACATATAGACATCGAACACACAGACATACGGGAATGGATAGGCGCACCAACTCGGAAAACATACTAACTAACAAATTTTGTAAGCTATTGAATACAATATTACTGCGTGCCGTGGAAGGACACTTCCACTTGCAAAGAAACACCCATTACCGACTACAATACCACAATAGATTTTTGTTTCTGATCTTGTACATCAACTACGACTGTTACTACTACTTACGTATATTCACGTGATTTACTAGAAGAGTACAATGATTTTTAATTTCGGTCCAGATCTGAACAGATTTTGCAGAGATTATTAATTCCGCTCATCGGCTAATCTTGCTTTAAATTCTTCGATCGGAACAATCTCTACAATCGTGGTCGCATTTCATATATCTTGATCAGTTTCGATTAGTCACTATTTCAACAGTTAGATGAATCCTAAGGGTAAGGCCTTCTAATGGGGCTAAGCGAAGTTCTTGAAATGTATTAGTATGAAAAGTGTAAGTAATTTCATTATAAATAAATAAATGAAAGATTAGATCTTAACATCTTATCAGATTGGGTGAGATACATATGTAACTTTTGTTGTTCTCGTCTTTTGTAATTTACGAATAATGAAATATTTGTAATTGACGTTGTATTGTAGGCCGGCCCTTTGGCCGATTTGGCTTAAATTAAATATCGAAAAGCAAGTTCACGAAATTATAGTTCTGCAAAACCTATTTTCGAATACTGTGGATCACTTCGCCTAATTAAATATACGTTAGTGTAATTTTTTCGTAAAAAATTGTATTTTGCTGCCATAGGGGCTCTTGTATGGGAAAATGTTCGAAAACTAAATCTACATTGTCTAAATTTACTGTCGTGGTATTTGTACATCCAAAGCATTACTCTGCATACATTTTCATCATAGAGTAGTTTCCGGAAAGCTTACATTTTGCAGACGCGGTTATGTGGCAAGGAATTGAACAAAATTGCCTCATTATTATATTTCTTAAGCTACTTGCTTGGTATAATAAAAAATGTCCTCCTAAATATTGCATACATTCGCATACACATATATATATGCCCTTATCGCAGGCGTAATAGGGTGTAAATAATTTTAATTGACTTTATCATAATGAAATATAATTATGTTTGATTGTGTATTTGCGACTCTCATGTCAAGTGATTGTATGTAGCTTATATAAAATTCAAACAATGACGAATGAAAATTCTATTTATTATTTGACACATTCGCATATTATCCTGAATTCGATACGATGTCACCCATATATATATATACCTGTTCGTCAGACATTTAGCATTCCAATGCATTCGTGCGACATTTCGGGCTCTCTACAATAATGGACATTTGCGGCAGTCTGCCACGTCAACTGAAAATAGTATGCGACTTTTACGAGAAGGAAAGGACAATATTTGAATTGTTATATATATATATATAGATATAGACCACTGGTCCAGTCAATCTTGTTGACATAGTATGCTCAAAGGTTGTACTAAGGAAAAGTTTGAAAGCAAACTTATACTACTGAGTGGCAAATTTTATGGTTTAGAAATTGTTTTTCTATTGATCCTACGAACTTATTGATTGAATTTTTGCTTTAGTACAAAAGAGAAGACTTCTTAATTTTTTGTTAATTTTAGCCTGCCGAGGTAGATGACACAAGAGACAAGTGCAAAAAAAAGGACGAATTTTGAAATATCTATTGCCATCTCTGTGCTGATCAAAAATACATATATACATATTCTATTATTATTAAAATATATATGTATATATATATGTGCTTACGTGTGTAATATAAATAGTTCAACATGTTCCAAAAACATACAAAATTTATTGTACCCCTCGTAAAAATCACTTATTGTGGGTGTATGTGCAATCTGCTTACGCATGCATGCACGCGATCATATTCCATTGTTTCTTTTAATATAGCGCGTCTTCTTCCTTGTACATTCCTTCCACATTATTTCCCATTTATTCACTGTGTGCTCGAAATATTTCATAAAAAAAAAAAAAATTTGAAAAGTTTTTTTCTTTACATTCTCACCAATAATAATGATAATGGAATATGGAACTAATCGTCTCATTCGTACCGTACTGAAATGTTAACAACAACAAGTTTATAGTTTGATTTACGGCATCTCCTTAATTCTGTTTGTCTGTTTATCGATTCTTTGCGGTGGCTATTTTCCTTGTCTTGCAGGCTTGGATTAGGTTTGATTACAATCTGTGCGCAAGCGAGAAATTTATAACATTTCGAAAAATCTTTCAAAATATTAGAAAAGTTTTTCAAAATTATCTGTAATGTAAGAGAAATCTTCAAATTCGATAATCTCTTGTTACGTGCTTTTCATTATCTTGCCCTTCCTTTTTTTCATCGGGTATTAGTTTTAAAATTTGGTCTTCGCATGTTTTGGTGCGTTGTCTATGCCATTTTCGAAAGAGTTTAAGAAGAATTCAAGATAAGCTGCGAATGCGGCATATTCAAGATTTACTTATGACTTAATCTCTCCCCCTTTTTAATATAGAATCTTAGGAAAGTGCTTTCTGTTTGCTTTGTCTCCTTCTCTTCCTTCCTTAAGTGCGAGAGAAACTTGTTGCCGTTTTCTCATTAAAATTCAACCAAGTTTTTCTGATATTTCATTAAAAACCGTTCAGAGTCGAGTATGCGGCACATTCATCGATAACTTTTTGCCACATTTTCATCAATATCGTTATCCTATCACGATGGAAAGATGGAAAAAGTAAACTAAGCGATATTTCGCGATAGGAGTCTTTTGAAATTGTCTTTACGCAATTATGACTTTCTTGAAAACACCGAAACAAATGGTAGTCGTTCAAGGCGGCATGCGGGTGGTACGGTAGATATATCAACATTTCTCAACCAAGCTAACTCAATTTTTACCAAGTATTAATGTATACTTGTCGCCTAATATTGACGTAATGGTATAAACTCATCTTTCCCATTCTGGCGCTATTCGGGCCGACTTACGCGGCGCTGCAATCGCATTCGCTACTGACCGTAGGGAATGCGCTTGCGAATGCGTGATGCGCTTAATGAAGACTGGCTCCCTTCCAATCTAACTAAATGCATGGCGCTGCTCCGATCTTTGTCCCCGCTTAAGCAGCTTCATTTACTTTAACGACAAAGTACTAATGCCTTCGTTGTCACAGTGAAATTTCATTTTCTATTTTCGATCATCTTTTCGAAATGTAACTGATATCGGCTGGTCTAACGAATGTCTCATGGGATATCTTTAACGGTCGCACGCTCTTCATTACGACTCGATAGGCTTGTTGATGTTATCAAAGTTACGCAACTTTCACATCGAGTTTTGGAAAATATGATAAGAGCTTGTCTTATGTATTCCCCAAAATCGCAAAAAGCATCTCACACATATATACTTATATATATGTATATATATATATGCGATTATACTGATGATGAATTGAGTTTTTTGATTTTTTTATACTCCAGTTTGAGTTTCATATTAAATATCTGGAGGCGTAGCTTTTCTTCATTGCTTCAGTTTATATGATTTTTCGAAATGTTGATATATATCTCTTTCCCTTTCTTTCTGCATGTGTATGTATGTATGTATGTGTGTGTATGAGTGCGTGTATGAGTGTAGTTGGAATTTTCTTGTTATATATTTATAATTTTCTTCTTCTTTTTCCAATGTATTTGTGCTCAAGCAAAATGTAAGTGCATTGGCTTAACGGCACTTTGTCGCCATAAGTTTGGTCTTATATTTTTCACATTATATTCTTACATATATACGTACTGTCGAGTGTTGATGAAGATAATTGTCTCATTTTAGTTGCAATTTTTCTATTTTTATTATAAGCCATAATGGCAAATATTTTTTACATTTTTATGTTGACAATTAAGTCTGACTTGAAAAGAGTTTTTAGTTTTCTGTTTGTTTAGACATTTTTACGTTTTCTTTTACTGCTCAAGCTAAACATACTTACATAAGCTTTTGCACAGTAAATATGCCGTGACATTTAAGTTTTCTTGTTGTTGCTCATTTTCCAGTTTTGTTATTATTATTATTATTATTATTTTCGTTCTTGTTGTTATTGTTGTTGTTGTTGTTTTTTTTTTCTATTGTTGCTGTTTCTGTTTGCATTGTTGCATTTATCGTTGCTCTTGTTATTGTCTTTAGATTTGAAAAGAAAGCAAACACATAACCATTTATCTTGACACAATAGCGGCGAATGTTACAATAATTCTTTTGTCTTATGATAACAACGACAACAACAACAACAACAATAACAACAGCAAAAGCAACAAAATGACAGCAAAAAAAAAAAAAAAAAAAAGAAAACATAAATAAATAAAACAACCGCATTTGTATATATTTTTATGTCACGCGTTCTGGAGCTTTTCA